AATGAAACCCTGTATATTTCAATCAAGTAAATAAAAAAATGTCGTATTCGACAACAATATATAATTTTGAAATCAGTGTGCTTCATCTCTTGGAGCGCACAGAATGGAATTCCTTTGATGTTCGTGGCACATCGTGCGTACCTAGTAGAACTATATCTTGTTTCAGAGCGAATCCGTATTGTGATCGAGTTAATATTACTTGGATGAATGAATGATCATTTTGTTCGATTTGGTATGACAAGATATTGATTCAACGAAATAATTAGTTGGTTCAATGTGCATATTCCGTGAATTTAAAAGAAATGTCCTATTTGACAAAATCTAGTATCGATTTGGAAGTTTATTACTTATAAATGTATAAATATTTCCCGGATTTCATTTGGAAAGAGAAGGATAACATATATATAATAAATCTCTATCATAATCCTTCAGTATAATTTGTTGATGCAGAAAATCCTTTCTTCTTCTTCTTCTTCTATCATTCGAAACAAATCAACACAACAATTTTCTGAACAGTTTTTTCGGTTTTTCTCTCTTGAGAAAAACAACTGATTAATAATGTTCCATAGATTTCACAGTATACTCGCATATCATTTCTGCGACGTCATACCTATATACCCTCATTTACTGCTTTATAATATGTTATTCAGATGTTTTCTAGCCAACAAATGAATATCATATCCTCGATTACATCTATTATTTCATCGAATTTCTTTGAAGAACTCATTAACAGGTTTTTTCTGTCATGGCCGTGGCCATTGCATACTCATAGGAAATTAATTAATGTTGCAAATTCGCAGTTGAGAAAAAACATCTTTTAATTAGTTACTATACTTATATACCTTTGTTTATAATTATACTTGTTCCTGCAGAAAAATAATGTTATTGATATCAACACAATTATATCATATCTATACGTCTATCTCGAGGAATATCCTATTTTTCATCATAATACAACAAAAAAAGTTTGTGGACCGTAAAAATTACTGTTATCATAAATCTGCCTTTTGCAATTGGTACAACATTATTTTTGTAAAAGTTCCAATATTTCGAAATCCGTGGGGTTTTTAATACAAAAATATCATGAAGGAAGCTTATTGAACAATTTTATGAGCGTATGTATGTTCATGATTGATATTAGGTACCTAATATGTTTCCTTGTTCAATGTCCAAGAACATTTTTATCGTTAAGCATCTACGTTAGAAAAATAAAAAACTTTCGAATGAATCCAAGAAAATTTCTGTACAGAAAACAAAATTATTTCCTTATAAAAATTTCGATTTCATTTCATTATCCATAACGTCTAACCTCTCCAATTTATCTTCATATTTAACGAAATAGTAAATAATCTTGTTCCTCTCTAATTAGCGTCAAATTACCCAATGTTTCGGTTCAACGTAACCTATCGCAATACTTTAGATTTGTTTGGCGTGCCAATGAAGGAAACGTGGAGAATAAACATGAGGTAAAAGTAAAAGCTGTGGATAATGAACATTTCAAACAAACGCAGATTTATGTGTCCCAACGGAGTGTGCATTAATGGTCTCCTTGGTACAACACAAAGTTGGTATACCTAGATAGAAGAAAAATCAATCTGCAAATCGATGTATTGAAAGAACTTGTGTGCCTAGCAGTGCTCGATCTGTATAATAATTTGTTTTTGAATAACCACTACCAGCTATAGTTTTTTGTCTCAAACAACGATATTGTTTACCTCCATTTGATTATCAAGTCAAACAGAGTGGTGTATGGGAAGAAATAAATAATCGCTATTACTTTTTTTGATATGCTCACTAACCTAACACGTCCACGTCTTGTTCCTATACCTGGCACTGGCGCGGTATTTGCCATTAGTGCACCTGGTCCATACACAAATATGTTACTTTGTGGTTGTATTTATATTGAAACTACAATTGGAACATCCTTCAAAATTGAATAAACCTGCTGTTAATGCATTCGATCGAGTCTGGCACCACGGACTCCTCGCCAAGCTTCCATCTTATGACTTGCCTCCCCAGTTATGTTATCTGCTAGCTAGTTTTCTCTCGAACAGGTCTCTTTATGTGGTGGTCGGCAGAGTTCATGTGACTCTCTTATCATAAATGCTGGTGTTCTGCAAGGATCAATTCTAGCACCAACACTATTTCTACCCCATATCAACGAATTGTTGGAAGCAACTTCATGTCCAGTACACAGTTTCGCGGATGATAGTACCCTCCATACCGCCTTCTTTTCCAAGGCTCCAATACCAGCCAGGCGAATCAGAAACGAACGAGGGAGAAATGTTGACAACATAAATATGGACTTGGCAACAATTCTCGAATGGGGATCCAATAACTTGGTAGATTTCAATGCAAACAAAACACAAGCATGCCTCTTCTCTGAAAAAGCCGATCTCACTGTGCCCAACATAAGCTTGTCAGGAGTAACCATACCTTTGAAGACATCCATTTCGATGCTTGATATCACTATCAGCAATAACCTTTCTTGGGAAAATCACGAGAGATCAATTGCTAGAAGTGCATCCCAAAAACTTGGTTTTCTGTTTCGGGCCAGGAGCTATTTCACTGCCAGTCAGCTGCTTATGATCTATAAGGCACAGATCCAACCGGTCCTGGAATACTGTTTCCATATTTGGAGTGTAGCACCCAAACATACCCTGAAACTATTGGATACTGTCCAAAAAAGGGCAATCCGTCTCGTGGGTGATGCCTCGGTCACAATCTCACTCACTTCTCTGGAACACCGTAGACAAGTTGGCGATCTGTCCCTATTTTATAGATATATTCATGGAAGATGCTCTTCTGAAATATCAAAAATTATTCCTCCATTGGCAGTCCCTGCGAGATTAACCCGTCGAGTTGAGGCTTCGCACCCCTTCGTGGTCACTTTGGAGACCTGCAGAACATCTCTTTCCAAAGACTCGTTCATCCAACGAACAGCGAGGCTCTGGAACACATCGCCAAGGTAGGTGTTCCCCGAGGCATATAACCATCAAAAATTCAAGAAGAACACCAATTCCTACCTCATTTCCCTTGGTTCTCACGATGTTCTCTGAACATTACAGGATATCCCTTTTCGTGGGAACCAGAACATAAAAAAAATACATATGGCACGGTATTGATGGTTACTCCATACGGAAGAAATTAATTTTTAGTTGAAACTTTTCAAAGTTCGCCATATTTTTTAGTTTTAATTCTTGTTTAGTTAGTTGCACCTAAAATACATCATCTTCTAAATTATTCTGAAAGATCATGAAAACCAATAGGAACGAAACATAACCAATGACCAATGACCACCCTATGAAAACAAAAGGCAATCTTTCTTTCCCGTAAATCTGGAAACTAATATAAATCCAAGCAACTGTAATGTGAAACGAGTGCTGAATATCGCAGCGGCAGGGAATTCGAACATCGCACTGAAACAGTTGAATGGATGGTTATAAAACGTGGCCAGTGTTTGATGACAGTGGAGTCATTGTATTCGAAACTTGTTGGTATCAGCGATTTACAACTGTACATTTTCCGTATGTATCGAAGTTGATTGAGAAACGGAAGGAGAAGGAAAAAATGCACAACTAGAACAGTGGCGGGCATAACTATAGAAAACAATTAAATATGAAATGCCACATTCACAAAGTTACGAATTAATAAACATCCGTTTGGAAAACCAAACGTAAGTAATAGGTAAATAGAGAAAAAGGTACTCTCAACATTGAAATCATATCCACTCTGAAATGAGGAGTTCGAAGACTCTAAGTTGAAGTGAACCAAGTATGTGCATTGTGAGTTTGAGATATAGAAGTTGCTTGTCAGTGATTTATTATTCAAGTGTAGCATTATCGAATCAGTTTATGGAATAATACCAGCTTTCCAATTCTTTTCTCATTTTTCATGTAGGACTTGGTTCACTTTTTTGGTAGAGATTCTATGCTAGAGAAGGAAATAGCTCAACATGAAGGGAATTATTTCATTTTCGATATTATGTATATGTATGTCTCAGTATTACAAAATCCGAAATACATTTTTCAAATTCAGTATTGCAGTTTTAAAGTGTACAACAATAGGTGTATTGAAGGCACATAATATAAAGCACCATGTGCAGCAATGATTATTAGGTTAAATACATTAAAACAGGGGTTGTCAGGAGGAAAAACGCAGACCTAATTGTTCAAAACTAATTCATAGCAGCTGAACAACCAGAAATAGCTATCAACAATCTGGTTGAACATTAGAAAGAAATTAATGGGATCAAATTGAAAAAATGTTTCACTCAAAAATGCATTGAAATCATCGTTTGTAGACTGGCGGCCATAAGACGAGGTAAAAGTTATTCGGTATGAATTTGAAATTTTTTGATAATGCGCTGTTGTCAGGGGTAATGCTACCTGATATGAAGTAACCATGCATATAGGTATTGTCGAATTCTCACATTCAGCATTCGTGACAGATTCACAATTCACATCAATGAATAATTGTTTTCTGAGTAGGCAGCAAACAATACTGTTGATGCCTGAATAGTACCGAAACAAGGTAATCCTTGAAACTTCGATATAAAACAATGGAAGATCGTCATGACGTGCGATAATCGGACGAATGTCGAATGGCAATTTCAACTGCAGTACACAATGGTTCCTCCTCACGATATTTATCATGGACTAATCCATTGTTCGAAGTACAATACAGAGGGAGCCACGTGAGAGCAGAACGCCGGCACGCCACCATTTTATTTTCCGCGAAAAAATGGAAAATTCGCATGCCAGAGAGCGACTGGCATGCACCTATAGGTCTGGATTATCGTTCACCTCGAGCTTCCGGTGTTTATTACTTGTAAGTTCATTAAGATAACGCCCGGAGTCCGAGGAAAATGTGGAAAAGGCGATGCTAATTAGCGCCTCATGTTTTTTTTAATTGAGAAAAATTGCGCCAGGAGTATGCTCTCTAGATAAATTTCCAATTATAAGTAGAGGTGAATTCGCATTGTTGTGAATTGCATCAGGGTGAGTCATATAAGGCCAACAAACTTATAAGTTATCAGAAAGAATTCCTGTCAGCGTATATGTCCAATCATCTGATTTTCTCAAGTTTATCATTATCCAAAAATGGTCAAGTAGTTGAAAAAGCATTATGACATTGTTTCACCTTGACATTCAGCTGTCTCATTCCAATACCTATAACCTCCTGGTAGGACCTATCCTTATAGTGATATAGTGTATCATAAATATCTCAGAATGTGCACTGTTGTGAGGTAATTGTCTAATTTTTTTCAATATTTTATTCGCTGTTGCGTTCCAATTAACAGTGTTGCTCCTAAAGTGGCGCATGGAGTTAGTAACAAAGCCTACACAGAACACGCAGAAAGAGATGATGATGTGGTTGTGAGCATCAGAGAAGAAGTAGGACGGTGTATGTAGGTGGGTGTGGAAAACTACCAGCTGAGCGTGAGAGCGGGCCAGCTGCTTAGTGGACCCTAGTCTCTAACGGGGGTTGACGAGGATAGCTAGCAGGCCTGCCACTGCGCATATGGTAGTGAGTACCTTACTAGCCTACAAAACACAGCCGAAAAACTCTGAAAGCGAGCTGATGGGCGGTGCCTGAAAAGGATCTTAGCCAGCTCTCTTGAGCAAACCACATCAGTCATTGAAAACACTTGGGGTTTGCAAAAAGGTCCCATGAGGGACTAGTTGCTGACGTGCAAACGTCCCCCACTAGTATCAGTTGTTATACAGGGGGGTTATAAATAAGAACAATCAATACTTCCAACTAGGTTAGGCTAGATGTTCATAGGAACTTCATTTGCTAGAATGTCACAAGGAAACACTCCTTGAATTTTTTCGGTGTTATTTAAATACACCTTGTATAATCCACTTGTAACCCTCTGGCAGTCAGGCAGTGCAATTTTGCGAGAATAGAAATTAACCGAGTTACCAAACGATATGGGCCCTATCGAAAATCTTGACGGATGTATTTATAGTTCCACTTGTGGAGCTCGCGATCACTCAGTCCAAATCAGTGGCGGTTCCAACAATTGGACATTGGACATATTTAAATTTCAAAACTCATATCACATTTATGTGTAGTACCACAATTACCTACTCGAATAGCGTTCATTCTACAGAGAATATATAAACATACGTGTTAATAATAATGAATAAATTACTAGTGTATAGTTTGAGCCGAATCAACTTCTCACCTCAAACGTAATTCACATTTGAGAAGGCATATTTTCATTTACTATTGTATTTTCTTCATTTCTTTTTTATTTTTAGGGTCTCAATCGTAACATATAACGCATTTTCAGACATTTAAGTAAGGTTTCCCTAAGATACTGTTATCAATTCTTTATTTTCACAAGTAATCAAATAGGCTTTGAATATTCAGTTGATAGGATATATTTCTTTGTAATTTTAAAACAATCTGTTAGTTTTTTATTGACTCAGCCGTTGAGATATTGAATGAGCTTCTTGTGAATTATTTTTATCTTTCCTTAATCCATGGTTCCACAAATCTCACTCAAGGATATCTGCTTATTTTTTTCGTTTGTACAGGTTGTCCTAATATACAAGATTACCAGTGAAATTTTGATATGATTAGCAATTTGAAAATATGTAAATTGAAGGTCCGCTCAATTTTACCGCATTTTGCAGAGGTTTTGAATCTTATTGACTGATATGATATAGTAGATAACTTAACTGTTGCAATCCCAGGATATATTTTTTTCAGAGTAGATAGACCAACTCGCGGTGGAGGAATAGGTATGTACGTTAAGAATAATATTTCTAGGGGGCCAATATTCCCCCGCTCTCCCCTATTCGATGCAGGGGCTACTGGCTACCGATACCTACACCCATATAGTTCAACTACTTTCTATAGGTGTCCAACGAACATGTAAACCTCTTCTTTCATTCCGCCAACGCCTCTGGTGATTGGTAGCTCAACTATTTCGAGTAGGGGGAATTTTGAATAATCCATATTATGTTGTATTCAAATATTTTGTTAAGAGAAGCCCTTGTAAATAGCGAAGAAGGTGGAATGTCATAAACATTACATGCTTCCATCTCTTCTCTTCCAACCATTCACATACACTGGAATGAAAATGGTCAGTAATAATGAGAGCAATAGATTAAAATGAATCATTTTTTAATCAGGTAATAGAAACTGTGATGAAATAAAACTAAACAATCATTACGGAATCTTCAATCACTTCATTCACTCTAGAAACCTGGTTAGTTTTCCTTGAAATTTTGAAAACGATGTCTGGAAGGTCCTGGCACTGCACACTTGTCAAGTCCTAAAGTTCACTTTCGTTCGAATTAAAAGTCAACTATATTGTTGATTTAGTGAAGTAGTATAGAAACAAATCACTAATATAGATTTATGCCTATACTCTTGATTGACAAATGGGATAATTGGTGATAAATGGAAGAATAGCGCTTCGAAACGAAAAAATCACACTTCTGAACAGGAAAAAATCACAACAAACAAGACATATGTCATTCGACATTCGATCACGGATCATTATATCAAAAGGACATCTATTAATCATTCCAGAATTACGTCATTTGACAGGTTGCTGAGGGGCAAACATTGTATTTTGTCAAGATTTGTCATATAAAACCAGAATTAGTGGGATCGTTTTCCTTGGAATCCGAGTTGGAACCAGAAATAATTCCATAATTTTGTTTGCTGAAAATCACGTGTTCTAGAATGATCAATTGTTTGGTGGCTGAACTAATAATATTGTTCAAGGTCATCATATATATCTACTTGGAGGTCTATAGAGTGTAGTTTGTTTATGCCTACACCTTGAATTAGTTTGGAGGACGCTACTGTTAGCAAGATAAAATTCCGGTGTTGGACTGACGGTTGCGCTTATACATTACGGAGGCAAATTCTCAGTAGCAGAACGCAAGAAAACACATGTTTGGTGTCGTTGTGTAACTGGATACTTTTTTGCTCCATTGAAGATGATGTGTGCGATAATGCGAATACCTACGATGCAAGAGGAAAGTATGTCACGTGCAAGAAACCACCTGAGAATCACGAGCTGTTATGATTGAATACATTCTTTCATTGTGAAATTTGAGTCAATGTCAAGGATAATGATATGGCAACACATACCTATTATGCCGTAAAACGTAAAATTAATTGATTGTCAGCACACAAGACTGAATTCCTTGAAGAAGAGTTGGAATATTTGGATTTGATACTGGATCTAGGTACTTTACCAGTTCTAGGAGATTGAATTATTCCTCATACAACGAGGGATGCAGACATAATTACTCGCATAGGTACTTCATCATCATGACTATGGATAAAAAACATGTTACATGATTTTGTGAGAGTAAAATGTATGTAAGTCAAGAAATCTCTGAAGAGTCCTTATAATATATTCTGGTCCCCGTACTGAAATATTTTGCAATTTCAATTGAAGATTAAGGAGATAACAAATGAACATATATATGTCAGGAAGGAACAGTACTTTTAAAATATCAAGAAAAATCATTAATTCACCATTTTTTTAGATTTATTGGGAGTTTATCTCCTCGTTTCTGTATATACTGGAGATCCGGAACCAATTTACAATTTACTCCCCTGTATTTTTGTTGCTATGTTGTGTGAATGTTTTTAGATTTGGTATATGATTTCATGAGTGTATAATTTTGCTAGTATCAGATCAAATATGACACTTTCGATTTTTTCATTTCCAATACAAAGCATTTTTATTCTGGAAATTACTATTCAGTATTCTTCTCATATAATAGAGATTTAATAAAAAAATACTTTCTGTAGTCCCCTCGTAACTGATCAAATATTTTGTTACGTCAGATCTTGCAGTTTCAATAATTATTATTCTAGACCCGTGAAAATAATTCATTATCATAGCCAACCAATAATTTCAAATTGAAAGGTTCAATACGATGTAAGTATATATTAGGTAGCATGGGGATTATCTTCATTAAAACTAAATAGGAAACATATAATTGAAATTTCTACCTGTCGTGTATTTCAATATGTATGGTAGTTTCCAACCAACTTCATAAAATTCTATAGAAGCATTTGAAAAAAAGTTGGTGTAGAAAAATAAAGAAAAACTGAAATTATAACTTTGACTTCGAATTACATTATATTGTTTCATTATCTATAGCACACTTTTATGAAAATATCCCTTTACGAGGGGAATACAAAAAGTATTTTTTTATGAAATCTTAATTATATGACTAGATTGTGGATTGACAATATGATTCAGGAAGGTAATTTTATATTGAATCATACCCAGAAAAAAATGTATACTTCGTATTTGAAATAAAAAATGGATGCACTTCCTGTCAAACCGGAAGTGTCATATTTCGTATGATATATACTAGCAAAATCATACACTTAAGCAATCATATCGATGTACCAGAATCCCTTCAGGACTAGCAACGGAGATATTCATTAAAAATTTCTTAGGAATCGTTATATCAATATATGTATCTCCTATACATACGTACTAATCACGATAAATATCTACATCAATATATACCGAGAGGAATTGGGATCTCCGGATGGAGATAAACAAATCATGTTATTCATATGAAATAGCTCAAGAGCCTGAAAGTTGATATTTGATGCTCAAGATAAGTGAAACTGCATTCAAAAAACAAACAAGTGCACACCTAAGATCCCAACCGGTTTGACATTAATATCAAGCTAATGAGTTATGTGAAAGTGAACTTACCTATTAATAGATACTGTATACATATAGTCGTAATGACAAGAATAAGGAATGTCCATCCCATTGAATGGAATATGCATTGTTCATCAGCCTTATATCATGCACCTCATGCACGAAAAAATTGTTTGCTTGCTGGTGACGTCATGTCTCATCTCGTGCCTCATAATATAACACACGATTTCGTTTATGTCTTCAATTTTGGAAACACTCGTGTAGTTGATCGAGTTTTTTTGAAATGTTTCCTTTATTCATTAATATAGGTATCACAAAGCAATATTTCCATCAAGGTACCTCAATTATTCCAAAATACAAATTGAATAGGTATCAACGTTCAAATAAATCAGATAGGTATTAATAAGAAATTTATTAAATCAGTAACGAGACAACATGGAACAGATAATTCAGTTGAACAAAAACAATGATTTGAGGGAGAAAATTATAACTCTAAAGGGATTACTTCCACTGCTTCATGGAACCATCACCTGAAAAAAAAATTGAAAAGTTATATAATATATATAATAAATATATCTCGATAACTGTCGAATTTTTCTGAATATATTGGAAAAAATAAATGTACAGGGTGATTGACTATGGATTTCTCGACTTCAACAGCTGATATCTCGAAAACGAAAAAAGATATTTGAAATTTGGAAAAAGTTACTTGAATGAGATGTCATTTCCTTCTGGAAAATGTGTTCTCTGCTGGATTTCATCATTTCATATACAGGGTAGGTGAAAAAAAATTTTTTTTTCAAATGGAACCCCCTGTATATTATCGCATATTTCGAAAGAGCTATCTTTCCTGATTTCGAAGATATATACTTTTCATATATTCTATCGAGGGCTTGACGAAATATCAGCAAAATTAAATATTAATATTTGGTCCAAGTTAGCTATGGTTGAAATAGAATGAGATGATGAATAAGTGAATTGACATTTGGCCAACATTCCAGTGACATAAGTTCGCGAAATTTCGACAATTTTCTCACGATGCCATATCCACTGGAACAAAGGAGAGCTGGAGTGCTATTTTTTAGTTAATAAAAATCTTGCTGAAACACTTCATAAGTTTATGAGGAGTTATTCAGGCAGGAGATTACCAAGTAAGAATTATGTAAAGTATTTGGCTGCTAAATTTGACAGAACTTCCAGTTTGTGGAATATCAAGAGAATAGTGAGAAGGCAAGACAACGAAGACGATGAACTTCTTGTAATCCAGTATTTTGTTGAGGATCCTTCACGGTCAATAAGAAATGCAGTGAGAGAGTTTGGTTTCAGCTATTATTTTGTTCAACATACCTTAAGGAAATATAAATATAGGGAGTTCAGAATTAGACCATGCCACAAACTCAATTATGATGATAATGAGAAGCGGATTGAATTTTGTCTTGTCATATCTGAAAGATTAAATTTAAGTAAGTATAAGTGTAAGTGTTTCAGCAAGATTTTTATTAACTGAAAAATAGCACTCCAAAATATCTCTTCTTTGTTCCAGTGGATATGGCATCGTGAGAAAATTGTCGAAATTTTGCGCACTTATGTCATTGGAATGTTGGCCAAATGTCAATTCGCTTATTCATCATCTCATTCTATTTCAACCATAGCTAACTTGGACCAAATATTAATATTTAATTTTGCTGATATTTCGTCAAGCCCTCGATAGAATATATGAAAAGTATATATCTTCGAAATCAGGAAAGATAGATCTTCCGAAATATGCGATAATATACAGGGGGTTCCATTTGAAAAAAAAAAATTTTTTCACGAACCCTGTATATGAAATGATAAAATCAAGCAGAGAACACATTTTCTAGAAGGAAATGACATCTCATTCAAGTACCTCTTTCCAAATTTCAAATATCTTTTTTCGTTTTCGAGATATCAGCTGTTGAAGTCGAGAAATCCATAGTCAATCACCCTGTATTTTAATAGTGTGACCCCTAGACGCTTTCGTAATATATAGTTTTAGTTTTATCCAGATTCAATTAGTTTGGTTGGAGATTCTGAATGATAGGTCTGGAAAAAATCGTTTTATCGTATATCGAAAAAAATCGTTTTATCGTATATCGATATATCGAATGATATATAATTCCAGAAATATCGATATATCAATCAATAACTGTCGAAATATCGAACTTATCGATATGTTTTGACTCAAATGGATAATCGAATGTGAAATCCAATATCGCGCAGTCCTACGCTACTGTCAATTTTAACGAAACAATGAATCAAATGAGACCATCATCTCCAGCCGACTTCAGAATCAATTCAGCGACTACAGGAACCGTAAGTGAAAATTCAGAGTTAAAATTGGCCCTTTTTTTGTTTCAGAACGAAAATTATTTGTCGGCATGCTGAGCAAGAAGCTTTGCGAAAACGACGTGCGCGCCCTCTTCAGCGCTTACGGAACCATCGAAGAATGCACGGTGTTGAGGGACGTGACGGGAAACTCCAGAGGGTGTGCCTTCGTTACCTTCGCATCGAAACAGTCTGCCTTAAGTGCCATCAAAGGTTAGTGCTGTATCCCGAAATTACATAGAAAGATTCTAACTACATCATTTGAAGTTGATATACATGCGGTATAGTTCTTTCATGTTGCTGAGAAACTATAAAGTTTGTTAGCAAGACAAGTTGAACTGAAAGCCATTTGGGTTTTCAACTGTGAGATTGAATTATATTTGGTACCAACAGTCGCCTGGTTTTAGGTATGTACCATTATTTTATGAAATCATGAATATCACATAGAGTAGATCTAAATATGCGAAGATGTTTATGATATTAGCACTTTATTTGATTTTAGTTCTGTTGCTTGTCAAACCTGTCAGACTGTTGTGAAATGAAATCCATATCTGGGTTTGTTGAGAACCTATTCCTCTTCATCTGGCGCCCAACGTGGGGCAAACTAGAAAAATTGATATAGATATAACCTGAAGAGAAGACAAGTTGAACTGAAACCCCATTTGGGTTTTCAACTTTGAGATTGAATTATATTTGGTACCAACAGTCGCCTGGTTTTAGTTCTGTTGCTTGTCAAACCTGTCAGAATGTTTTGAAATAAAATCCATATCTGAGTTTGCTGAGAACCTCTTCCTCTTCACCTTGTATCATACGTAATCTTTGGGTGAGGATCCTGAATTATCCTGGAGGGAGAGATATCCCAAAGATGCACTATATGACAAAGTGGGGGTCATCTTCACTGATATACACTGGTCGCCAACAGTCGCATGGAACCACCCCAATTTCTGGTGAATGTTATCAGGAGTCAAAATTGATTGAAAATCACTCTGGATTCGGAATCAGGACGCCCAATTCACTAACTATACTCATTTTTCTTGAGACATTTCAAGTTCTGAAAAATGCATTTTTGTCTCACTTTTCTGAAATATTCAGGAGCAAGAAATATTCCGAAGACACAGCCAATGACGAATTAAAATTATCATCAGTGATATACACTGCTCGCTAGTGGACAGGATAGGTTGGAAATCACTTCGGATTCGAGAAAAGAAAACAGAACGTCTAATTCACTAACTACTCAGATTTCGTCTGAGAAATTTTCAGTTCTGAAATAATAAATTTTTTCTTACTTTTCGTATTTTATATAATTCTTGGTGTAAAAGATACCAATGACCAAGTAGGATCATCTGTTCGCCAGCTGCCACAGAAATTGATTATCATGAAGTCAGTTCTCATCAGGGATAATGAATAACCAATCTGAATTGGTACAACGAATAAATTATCAGGAGTGATCCAATGGATCAGAAATCATGACAGATATCATTTAAATGAATTATGAATGAATGAATCCGTTAATGGTATGAAGAAAATCGTTAACAATAAAAATGCTTCAAAATATGGGAAGTTAGTGAGTTGGACGTCCTCTTTTCAAATTCGAAGATATCTTCAACCTATCTTTTCTCTTAATACTATTTTAATGACATGTATGCAGTTCCACAGCTGTTGGTGCGCAGTGTATATCACTGGAGATGACCCCACTTGGTAATAGAGTGCATTTTTGGTATATCTCTAGCTCCAGCAAAGTTCAGGATCCTAAACCAACGATTACGTAAGATACGTGGGTGTTTCCATGAAAAGTGATTTTCAACTTATTTTGACTCCTAATAATTGGAAATTGGGGTGGTTATAGGGCTGTTGGCGAACACTGTATATCACTGGAGATGGCCCCAGGTAATCATAGAGTACATTTTTCGTATATAATAATAATAATAATAATAATAAATCGTCTTTATTACTTCTATAAATTATTACAGAAATTAAATTGAGTAAATACATATTGAAGAAGTAAAGGGCGAAGTTTATTTTTTGTTACACGAGAGAGCATAACAAGAAATATTCTTCCACTTAACCCACAAAAACCTGTGTATATACAATACTAAAAAAAAGGAAAATGCCAAATACTTAGGGATTGAGTATAACCTATTTTATATTGATATATGTACATAGCCGGTAAATCATATGTTATGTTCCAAGTCTAATTTTGAGTGTCTAATAGATGAATTTTGTGTATCAGCTTGAATTTTGATGCATTCAATGTTCTCATTTTTTCCAGAATCGGGTTGCATAAAAGCCATATTTGATAACTGAATGAGCGTCTAAAATATTCGGTTCTGAAAGTTGGTACGGTTAGAAGCCCCTTATTTCTTATGTTCAAGTTATGAACGTCAGTACGGTATGCTATTTTATTACTTAGATAGGGGGTTACTTTTTTGGTTATAATTTTATGATACAGAGTGACGGTATGGTGAATTCTTCTATTGTTCTTGAATTGTTCTTAAATTGTTCTTATCCGTCATCCGTCATTGTCCATATTCAACCATCCAATTTCACGTAACTTGTGCGAGATTCTTTCGCGACGTCGAATTCCAAAAATCAAGCGAAGGCATGAATTCTGTACTTTTTGTATTTTTCTCTTATATTGGGTTGTTAGATTGGGACCATAGAGTGCATCGGCATAGTTGAATAGGGACAGGACCAGTGTTTCGCATAAAACTCTTTTTATACCAGATGATAACAAATGCCGATTACCATGAATAATTTTCAGACTACCGTAAGCACGTTGTAACTGTTTATTTATATGTTTTTCAAATCTTATGTCAGAGTCCATTGTGACACCCAGATCTCTCGCTCTAGGAAATTTCAGGATTCTAACTCAACGATTACGTGAGATACGGGGTGTTTTCATTAGAATTGAGAGACACTGTATAATTGAGAGGGGAGGTCAAATGGATGGTGTTGTCTTTTGACAAAATCCACCACGACTCATACTCATTAAGAAACTCATTGCATACGGATTCAGCAATAAACTACTTTAATTTACATTATAACTGTCTACATGTGAGGTATCAATATGTTGAATTCAAGAGCAAAATATCAGATTATTTCATAGCCAAATTAGGTGTGCCGCAGGGCTCCAATCTTTGTCCACTTCTCTTCACGTTATTTATAGATAATCTTTGCCGGCGACTATAAAATATTCCGCGAAACGGCGAAACCAAAGGTCTCAACGACTTAACTTCGAGAAAAAATGGCGTATGTTTGTGTTGGACCACTTTGTGCACGGATGATTTCTATATTGGTTCGATTCCATTCCTGTTCCAGGCCTCCATCAATCCCAAACGATGGAAGGTTGCTCCGCCCCACTAGTAGTCAAATTCGCCGACACGCAAAAAGAAAAGGAGATGAAGCGCCACCAGCAGATGCAGGCGAACGTGTGGAACGCCTTAGCCGCCCCCACTCTCGCCTCTCCCCCCCAGCAGTTCTCGCCCGTGCTGCCCAACGAGGCGACGTCGCTGCAGCTGCTGCAAGCGATGGGCGGCGCCGGGTTGCTGCAGCAGCAGTTCCTTGCCGCCGGCGGCACCGAGAATCTGCTGGCGCCCATCGGCGTGCAGAATCTGGTGACCTTGGCGGCCATGTCGCAGCCGGCGGCCGCAGCTGCAGCGCCTTTGTGCATGGCCAACTTGCTGGGCAAGGGGTCGGGGGTGGAGAGGACGCTGACGGCTGGGTTGCAGCAGGGGTTGTCGGCGCCGGACCTCTCGACGTACGGGTCGTTGATCACCAGCGCCACCATCAATGCGGCGGCGCTGGCGGCGGCTGGGAAGCAGATCGAAGGTGAGTAGGATCACGTTTTTTTGTTGATGGACTAAGATTTCCAGAGACCTATTTCGATAGCTCGTGTCAGCATGCTCTAACTAAAAGGTTGTTCTAAAATTGTTCTATCTGTCATTCGGCTTCCCCCTTACGAACAACCCTCAGAAGTGTTCGATAGTCTTTTGCGAGCAAGGAATGACGGGGGCCTTACCTTTCAACGTGTGATCGCAAACACTTTCTTGGACCATCAGAAAAATTTCTGCAGTTGCTGGGAATTGATCCATGACCGGCACGCGAATGCGGATTAGAATATTGACAGTCCGTCCGCACGGCTACCTGGCAACCCTTGGTGTTTATATAAACTAAGTTTTGAGAGGTTTTTTTTATAAACAACAGAGGAAAAAAGTGCAGTAGGTACCTATAGAAAACCTGATTTCGATGTTGATTCTTCTGGGTGGGTATCACTCAGATTCATGTAGCCTGTTTCAAAAACCAGGTATTTTGAGGATGAGTAGGATAACGGTATTTTTATGGGGTAAATGTCCATATGATGTTAGTGACAAGATCTATAGAAATGGAACAGAAAGGCGCAGAAGTTAACTATAGTAAACCATTGGACAATGTAGAGTTGGAAAGCGACCCCATTATGGGAATGCCAACAGATGGCATAATTCCAAAATATATCTTTGATTAGACTTTTGAAATCAATAACGGAACAAGAGGCATGACAGGAAGAACCTCATCAATGCAGATATTGCTCTCTACACGGACGTATACGAAACTGAGGAAGGTTCAGAAGCTAGTATTCATGGTTCCAAGCAAAAAAATTCAGGCAGAAATTGTCACAATACATTATGGTGCAAAAGAGTTGATAAGCGAGAATTTCATAGGAAGAACCATTGCAATCTACTCAGATAGTCTGGCAGCAATCGAAGCAGTCAACTAGATGCAAGTTAATTCAATACTTGTCTGAGACTGCTTCATAAAACCTTGAATGAACTGAGTCGTCAGAAGATACTGACTCTAGCATGGGTACCAGCACATACAGCGTATGAGGGCAACGAAGGGACAGATTTACTATCCCGAGCAGGACCAAGTAAATCTCTAAAAGACCAAGACCCTCTTTGTGATATTGCAGAAACTATAAAATAGACAAATCATGGATACAAATTAAATCTCAAGAATGGTGTATTGATTCGCTAGGAATGGGGTCAGTTACATAAAATCCTCTGTTAACTTGACGAGGAATTGACTAATCTTAATCATCTGCTTAGGCATACGTTGCTTGCGGGGCATAGGAAGCAGTAGTAAATTAAGTTAGGCACAGACCGTGCTGTTAGTGAACCAAGATTCAGTGTTATTGATCAGATTTGGACTCAAGTCCCAAGAGGCCAAGAGAATGTTGGTATAGGCTCTAATAATTATAAACACTCAGTTCAGCTTTGGATACTGGTTGTTAATTTTGTTCAGTTGAAATCACTATTAATCGAGTCTATAGCTCGAAAATGATACTTTACAGGAACGAGTCAAAACTCTTTATAAACCCATCACAGGTTCTTCTACTTCTGGATGTTCTGGCCTAGGAATCCGTTCGAACTAAAACCGTTTTCCACTGGAACGACCCGAAACCTTCCTGAAAACAGAAATCTCTTCATCATTTCTTCGCATTCCAAACAGTAATAATTGAGGTTAGACTGAATTTTCACCGATGTCAAAATGTACCTATCCACAACTCACGAAACGATACAGCGGTACGATGTATCCAGAAATTAAAAAACCTTATGTTCTATTGAATCAACAAACTTATCCGAGTTCAATTTTGCGTAAGGCTGAGAACTAGCATAGCCCATTTGTTATATAAGTCAATCGATTGTTATACCTCATGGAAGGTAATTTTGAGAAGAAATCAGAAATAGGAGCAAACATCATACAGTTCCATTGGAAGTAAGCTAATGAACAAATATCATATTTTTATCTTCTGATGCAAATGCAAAATGAAAACTTGGAGATGCCTGTACGAGGGACCGACTGAATATTGCTCATCTCCTCAGAATTTCACTGTTCGTTTGCATGGAACACTAGATTCGTGAATCGGAAAATTTCGGATTACCACAGGAGGAATGGCCTTTAGTATAACTAAATCTTCATTGAATCGCATCGGTTTCCCCTCTATCCCCGTTTCGCTCCAATAGCGCCCCGGGGCTTGTGTTTAATTGGTCGTAATATCGGTTTGAATTATATCCTTAGATAACGTAAACCTACACTCATCACTTATACTATCACTTAACGGTTCGATGGCTTTATGATTTAGCCAGTGATTTAGTCTCACACACGCCTAATGGTATGGTGGCGCTATTCATCAAACGTTGATATTAACTATACTATAACATTTGAAGTTTTTTGTTATGATTCGATGAAAGGCAATGAAAACGTAATGATTGAAGTTAGTTTGCTGTTTATTCTTGTTTATACCAGGCGATCTGTGATGAGTTGGCCATCTGAGAAAGCGCCTGCAATGTTTTCGGGTGATCATCGCCGATATCTCAAAAACTATCTGTCCTATATGGGGCTGATTATTCAGCGTGTCATTTTCAGCATGTCATTTTCTACTGGAAAAGCGATAATTCGCGAGGATTTCTTCTGTTTTCTTGTACTTTCGGCCGACCGAAGATGGCTCGGTGACTATATCGTATGGAAGTTTTAGGTGGGAAAATAAAAATTGCTATTTGACCTATTAAAAATCTGAAAAAATTCACATAGACTAAATCGATGTCGTAATTAGTGAATTAAGTGTGATGGTTCAATAATTTTGTATGTCTATTGTGTTGTAAGTTCAAAAAAATACAACATACTGAGAAAAAAATTTGAATTCGGACAAAAAAGTCCGAATTTGGACAAATAATCGCTGCTTAAATCAGTGAATTAAGTGTGATGGTTCAATAATTTTGGATGTCTATTGTGTTGTATGTTTGTATATTACTTTATGACACAAAATATCTTCCGAGTTTCGACAAGGAAACAAAAGTCAAATATTTCATTCTATACACGGTCGGTTGTTTCTCAACAATTTGAACCACTACTTATATGCCAGAATCATCCTGAAAATTTCTATTCCAACGATATTTTTAACGGACATTCTCTCATCTCTCTAATCTGAAGTACAGACCTCCTATAATATAATGAATCTCCAGAGTCCAGACCCAAACTTGGAACAAGTGGTTCGCTCTACTCGACTGATGCGCACAGAACTGAAAATGCCATTGGATATGGAGAGGAAAGGAAGGACCATACACGAGCCTACTATAACTCAATGTCGCCTGATTAAGAGTAAATGTTTGGATTTGCATTGGTTCACTAATCGGTCTTGTACCTTTCTTTATGAACAACTTTAGTCTGAATTCACTGGGATATTACTTTAGCCATGCACCGAAGCTTCGGTATTCAGCTGATTCAACTTATTCTCAGCTATTCTGTTTTCAACTTGAATATGGCTTGGAAATGCCTAGACAAACTTAATGATCAGGGCAGGAAGAGCAAGGTCTCCTAGATACTGGGATACATCGGAGTGTGGAGGGAAGTAATAAATAAGTAGATATTCTGCGACCTTGGAAACTCTTATTTCGAAGGAGAAAATGAAGCTGACGAAGCAACATACTGGCAGATACTTCTTTCTGAAGCAGGCCAAAGATCTGTTCGGCAATTTCATCAGAGCGAGATCGAAAACACTGATTAACGTCAGCAAAATGAGTTTCAAAGAAACAACGGGATTCCTAATGGGGCATTCGACTCAAAGAACACCTCACAAAATAAAAGGAATATACTGAAATTATAGCAGCTGACAGGAGAACAGATCACTCGAAATACTGAAATTCGTGAATTACTGAAGCTTGAGTGATTACAAGAAGCAAGAAAACCTTGACATACCAGAAGAAGATGGAACTCAATAGATCTAATGCGTTTATTACTTCTCTTTTACCAATACCAATAATACTGGTTGAGACTTGTAGGATATCATTTGAAGTTCACATAACGGTAGTGGCAATGAACGTCACCAGAATTTCTCTCCGGTGCTTCTCTAAATTATGTGGTTGATTTTATATAAGCATTATATTCTGTGGATAGCTTGAAAGTTACAATAAGAACTCGCGTAACTGCATCAGCTGTAATATCCTGCCAGACCTTAAAAAAGGGCCCTGGTAGAATGTACTCATATTGCTAAGATTTGCATTTTCCGCTCAGTAGATTTCCTATAATAACTTGGAATAGGATTCCCGAAACTGAGGTTGATTGATCAGAATATTAGTCAGTTCAAAATAGTACCAAAATTCAAAAATCACCCTTTACAGTAGAATTCACGTAAATTTTCATTACGATATGTTCGCAATCGATGGATGTGCAAGTTTTCAATGTTTTCAAGTGCAGAAACATGAAACGTAATAGTTTAAATTTCATCAGTATCATACTTCATGGATGTGTGTTTCCTTTCCATTTCATATTCAATGGAAAATGCACTTCCTAAACCTCTTCTAATTTTGGAACGTGGCCAAACGACCCATAACAGCGCTCAATAAATGATGCCCTAATTGAAAAATTAGAGTCCGCTCCGAACTACAGAAATTACGACGCTTTTTGTCAAAACGTGAACTTTTTACCCCCCCAAACCCTCCTAATGAGTAGGTATATGGCGCTGATGTGTGGAACGACGGAAAGACAGAACAGGGCATGAAATCTCTCATGGATTGGCGGTTTGCCCCGAAAAAAAAACGAAATTATACAGGTGGTGAAATCAAATTTGCACTTGTCCCAACTTGGAACTGTTTACTGTATGACCGGTCCTAACTAACTCATCAGCTAAGTTTCCTTGGATCTAAAGAAATTATTAAGTCGTCTAACAAATACCTTATGCCTTTGCCACTACAGACCTAAAAATATTTCAGGTAGATTGAAAATTATAAAAGCATACCAGTATTTAATGCAACTGTGTGCGGCCTTTACTTGAATGACCCTTTGTATGAACACTA